ATATATCATCATATTATATCTATAGTATTCATGGGGGTTGCGAACCAACAAATATAACTGGAAGGGGCCACCTCGTAACTCCCGCCAGTCACAACTTGGTCCATAAGCCGAACAGATGTCTCCATCATCCCAACCGATAGCCCAGTTATGAGCTAATTGAGCTATACCCTCTGGTAATCAAACGTCTTGTAGCTGGAAAATCCCCTGTTTTCTGGAGGTCTTAACATGAAAAACGTCGAACTAAATGGTGGTTTTCCAGCTAGCCACGTTTGATTACCCCTCCGGGATCCGTAACAGGGGCAGAGTGCAAGATCCTCGCCTTCCAAACCGAGGCGTCTTGCAACTCCGCTAGACCTGATCGCTGTTGACGAAATCCTGCACCACTTAGGTAACTATTGGTGACTATGAATCCCTGTAAATCATGGGATAGATAAAGGATGATAAAGGACTATGGTGACTATGAGATAAAGTTTCTATGAATCCCTGTAAATCATAGGTCACCTTGGTAACTATGGTGCCTATGAGAGAAAGTTTCTACCAACTGGTGCAGGACTTTGTCCATCCACAGTAGGTAAAGAATCATCTAGAACATTCTGCAAGAGATCAAACAGCACTAGTATGAACGTGTACTTTCTGAAGAATCATCGTCCGGTACTTTTTCGTAGACCTAAAATGCCCTAATCAAATCATCATTCAACCACCTTTTGGGAAAGTCAAGGGTATCAACTTTCAAATCATCCGAAAAAAACATCATGAAACATCCCCTGGAAAATGCCATGAAATCAGCATTTCATCACTATAAAATCACCATGAAATCACCATAAAACCACCCAAAAACCACCGGTACCAAGCAGCTCAGCGTCTCGGAAATCTCTGCCGAGGCCTTAAGTGGGTGTGGTTAGATAGCTTAAATAGCTAAGTTAAGCGTTACAGTTTATTGTGTTATTAAAATATGTTATGGTTATTGTAAATATAGTCATTTATAGCTAGTTATATATAGTTATATCTAACTAACTAATAGCTATAATTGTATGTTATTATCTAAATATACGTAGTTATTCGATCATTGGTTTACCGAACATTTGCTATCCAGAATGCTATACTATAATTAATTATTGCTGATAACTTAAATGCTATATATACATATAACTATTTAGAACTATACGCAATATAACTTTATAACTTACAGCTATAATCATTTATCATGTATGTATGATATATTCCATTAATTGCTATAAGTCCAAGAACTCAACTATAATATAACTTTGAACAGTTGTAAGAGTCTAACATCTAACTTATAGCACAATTTGCTTTTAAACATATATATCTTATATATTCATATATGTTCTTATATGATATGCCAGATGCTTAATAACATATTGTAACTTATAACATCCTGCAACTGGCTTCATATAACTATCATAATATGAAAAGCACCTTATAACTTCGTTATAGCGTAGATATTAAATAACAATTATATAAATGTACTTAAAGTAATTTGCATCTTAGTTATAACATGTTATCACATGTTATAACATGTTAATAACATGCTACAACATGTTGTAAGTATTTATAGTATTTATAGCTTCCATAACTAACTTATAAACCGGTTCTAAGGTCACATCTCAAAAACTGAATGCAACAAAAGTGCGGGAGACGTTGCGGGCAACATCAACCACCCAAAATCACTGGTTGGTTTACCCACCTCTGGATGGAGAGGTTCAACAGATTCGCAGACCGCAGACTGCCCTTACTCAAATCCACAGCTTTCGCCAAAATCACCTTAAATGTCTTGAAAGAAACCAAACACCAGGTTTCCCGTGGTTTAAAGCATGTTTAAAGCATGTTGAAAGCCAACAAAAAACCAGCATGATTCGTAGCCACGGCCCAATCTCGTGGCAGGATGGCCTGTGGGGAAGTCGCAAAGGCCATCTTGCCGGCCGTCTCCTGCTCCTCAAACCTCATGTCAAAATCACTCAGGTCACCTTGGGCATGTGAAAAATGGATAGTTCTACATTGCAGACATTGACTAATTGTTAGTTATGTATATACATATATATATATCATTATATATCCAACAAATTGATACAAATTGGATATTGACGAACAATGATGGATGACGAACAATAATGGATAGTTCTACATTCGCGAATGCTCATGGTATCTGGATTATAGCCAATACGAATGGTCATCATGATCAGTGGCTAAATAATGGCATTAGATAGACCAAAATGTTAAAAACCACTAGATAATTAGCCGATGCGATTAGTGGTAACACTATATTGCAGCCAATTGGCCAATCTAATGGTAACGGTAATGATAGTAGTAGTAGTATGTAGTAGTACTATTGATAGCACATATAATTAGCCAATACTATGATAGTTCACCATCATTTATATAATGATAATAATGAGGTAAGGCCGATAAAATCGGGGCTAGTCCCAGGAGAAAAACTATGGTGATTAAGCAGCAACATGAGCATGTCATAAACCTAACTACCAGCGATCATTTCTACCACCCATGGGAATAGTGATGGTTTATGGAGAAAATGATGGTTGGTATTGGGATGGTCTTGGGATGGTATTGGTTTACCAATTTCTACACCCCATCTATGCGAATATTGGAGATGGTTTGCTGGTTTGGGTTTACCACAGAAATGCTGGTAAAAGGTGCGTAGAAATGTTCACCGATCCACAAAAAACGGGACCGGAAATCCAATGGATAGAAATGGAAATGGAAATGATGTGGCTCCTATACCCTCTGGTAATTTAACATAGCTATGGAAAATATCCCATTTCTACTTGGTTTACCTATTAACAATGGTGATTTTCCGTAGCTATGTTAAATTACCAAAGGGTATCGGGTTTCCTTCGATTCTTCGGGGGATCGTCAAGTCACCCATGGTTTATCATCCTTGTCCCCATCACAAAAAGGCAATTTTGGGGGGTATACTCTGTTAAGGATCATCCCAAAACAAGATGGATAAATACAGACGGTTGAAACCACCAACCAGACATGGTAGATGTATCCGACATATCCACCCCTCAAAAATGACAATGTTGACCAACCGGGTTGATGACTTACTGAGGGGCCCAATATATAATTGTACACGAATTCCAATCATGAACTGCACCTCATGTACCTCCATAGCAATATCCTCCTGTAATTTAACATAGCTCAATTCCTAGCTCCAACTGGCTCCCCATTTAGAATGGACAATTGATAACAGAACGGATAACAGTTCACCGCTCCCAAAACACCGTGAACCCTCCGTTCACTGGATAAATCCCGTACATATTCCATGTCCAGTCATCAAATGTGGCAATTGAAAAAAAAATCCCCGGTTCTGATAAGTGTTCCATAAAAACCTCCATTTGCCATGTTTGATTACCGAAGGGTACATCCCCGTCCCCTCATTTGAGCCATAAAAAAACTCTCCATATTCACCAATCAGGCTATATCCCATTGAAAACTCATTAAACCTCCATTTACCCCACCATTATCCCATAAAATCACCATAACATCCCAGTAAATCACTATCAGATCCCATTAAATCACTATAAAATCCCATGAAATCCTATGAAATCACTATAAAATCCCATAAAATCCCATTAAATCACCATAACATCCCATTAAATCACCATAAAATCCCACTAAAGCACTATAAAATCCCACTAAAGCACTATAAAATCCCATGAAATCCTATGAAATCCCGTTAAACACAAAATCCTCCAAGGAACAGCGGTGTCTTCGCCGACTCCTCACCGCGGCTGGGCGCCACAGGTGACTCGGAGTAGCCTCCAATTTCTAAGACAAAGAATGGGAAATCATAAGGAAAACATGAGGAAATTATAGGGAAATCATAGTGAAATCATAAGGAAATCATAAGGACATCATATGAAATCATAGGGACATCATAAGGACATTATAGGGAAATCATATGGAAATCATTGGGAAATGCCACTACAATGAGGTAAATGTGCGATTTATCATGATTTATCCCATTGTAACAAGAAACAAATATATAACATGAACCAGCTATTGAGGATATGAAGGCAATTATGAAGGGATATTAAAGGGAGGTTGACTATCGAAAGATTGCGTAGTTTACGAAGGAAAATGAATACACAATTGGATAAAATTGGATGTTCAATAGGACACGGAAACGAAACATGAGAGTTGGGTTAGTGCCAAAAAAAAACTGTATAGCCCGGAGTTGCCATTTTAGATGTTTGAAATGATGACAACCATGGATTGTGGGTTATCATATTTTGAGACAAGCCGCTTGAGGGAACTACCCAGGAATGGGAAGTGGGTCAGTTCTGCCCACTTTCTTACTTGCCCTGCCCTATTTGTAACTGGGGTTATAACTTATAACCTCACCAAGCATGGGGATTGGTCTTTAGAGGCATCTAAAAAATGTAGAACCAAACTTGGTGGATAAAACAAGAATCTGGAGATTAGTTTGTGGGGGAGCCGAAAACCTGCTAAAAGTGGTTATTTACCCACAAACAATGATCAATGGTTGGATCAACATCTGCTGCTTTACCAATCACACATCAGCCAGGGAGCAATGATGAGCAATGTGCACTTGAGATTGGTCAGGTCACTATATTGGCTCATTTCTGTCGCACTTGGGCAAGCCCCGCTTCTGAAACTCGCACTGGACCCTCTGACAGAATCTGTGATTGCAAAGTCTAGGGTTGACGCATACTAGTACCAAATACAGGTTGCGAAATGGCAAAGGTTGAGCATTCTGGAGATAGGGTACTCTTTGGATTGCTCATTTCAGCCATCTCACTGTTGCTTTCGTTTAGTTCAATTCCCTAAGATCATCCCGAACTGGCGGCCGTCCCACACGAACATCAAATGATCATTTCTTGAAGCCCATCTCCCCAAAAAAATGGTTTGTCATATGTTAAAGCATCATTTCATCCTCAATCATCAATCAATTAGGATATCTGATTGGTGGTATTACCCCTCTGAAAAAATACGAAAGTCAGTTAGGATGATTCTTCCCAACTGAATGGAAAATCATAAAATTCCATGGTTACAGTCACCACCAACCAGTATATATATATATATATCCCATAGATATCCATAGAAAAAATCTTTCTACATCCCATCTATGGGGGGTAACCATAACCTCAATCATCAATCAATCTGGGTAATTTATAATAATTCACTAACCTGAATCTTGCGGCCATAAAAGGGGATGATTTCCCCTAACATAAACCATGATTCCAGGCTTAGGGAGAACAGGCTTCGGTCGTGATCAAATTAATTTACCCAGATCAATCAATTAGGATGTGCTTACCCCATGTTACCCCCATGTTACCCCCATGTTACCCACCGATCATCACAACATATCACAACCATCTCCAATCTTCGGACACCTTGCGCAGGCGCGGGCGCGGTCCCCGGCTTCGTGGGGCTCAGGCCCGGCAGCGCGACCGCACCTCGGAGAAATCTCGTGGAATCCTCAACAAAAATTGAAACACACATTGATTCATGTGTATTCCAAAAAGATAATGGAAGTTGTAATACTTGATAGATATATATATAATGTATAGTTTGAGGATATGTATATATATATATATCATGGATATATAAATTAATAATAATCAAAATGATGTGTATATATATATAATCGATCAAAATTGATGTATAGTTTGCGACATCGCCCATCTTCCAGGATCGCCCATCTTCCAGGGCGGGAAACCCCGATTTCAAAATGCCGTCTGGTGATGTTAGCTTCATATCATTTGACATGTCTATAATATGTATATATATATAATTAGATATATAATTATATATATACTAGATTTAGATATAGAATAGATATGTGTTTTTTTGCTTGGGGAACTAGAGAACATCCAAATCTCTTTTCTCCCATGGACTCTCGGCCCATCCATCACAAACTCCACTTCACCATCCACCCCAAAAAAAAACGAGAAAAGAACAAACTCCAATTGTTTTCCTGAAAATCAATGGATGGGTTTAAGGGAAAATTTACAGGAAAGCCCCATATTTAATGGGAAAATCTATGGTTTCCTGTAGCTTTTTCCCTTAAACCAATCCATTGAGAAAAGCTTCAACACTTCACCATCAGTTCACATCCCACCTGCTGGCGGCTTGGGTCCCTTGGGTCCCGGAGGCGGCGCGGAAGCCGCCGCCTCCGGCGCCACGGGACAGGCGGCTTCGGGCACCTTCTGAGAGTCCTTGGCACCGGGGAAAACATAGGGAAATCATAGGGAAATCTGATGGATAAAGGGAAGATCTTCGCCGGAAACCATGGATTATCATGGATTTTCCCATGAAATAATTTGAATATGGGGTTTTAGTGTAACAATTGTCCTTTAAACCAGTCCATTGAATGAAGCAAATGTATCACCAAGAAATATGAAGAACTTGGGCTGTGAACAGCAAAAACTGGGCTTTAGCAAACCATATTAGTGGTTTTCGCTTATGAATTACTGATCAGGCAGTAGAAGGACCAACAGAAGATGATAATTTTAGCAGCAATTTCTATGGGGATTTAACACCAATGGGCGGGGATTTTACCAGCAAATCATTATGGGAAAATCCTATGGTAGGTTCATCTGCTTGGTGGTTTTAACCATCTTGAAAAATATTAAAGTCAATGGGAAGGATCATCCTATATATTATGGAAAATAAAACATGTTTGAAACCACCAACCAGTCCTTTTTTGAATGGCAAATGGTACAGTTACAGAGGAATTGATAGAGCGCACATCAACAAATGGCGAGTCATTGGCTGAAGATCAACCGCTTTATTTTCCAAGGAATCTTGCTGGAACACATTTTTTGGTGGCTTGCCCAATTGGGGAGCCATGCTAGCCATATGATAATCACCCAGGGATGTCCAAGGAAAATGTCGACGAAGCCCATTGGCCCATGGTTGGTGTTACCCTCTGGTAAACTAACATAGCTATTGAAAATTGCCATTTATGATGGATTTACCCATTAAAAATTGTGATTTTCCATAGCTATGTTAAATTACCAGAGGGTACCTCTCGAAAGTTTTCGCTTGAAGCAATTCTTTGACATGCTGCATCTTCCATCCCTCTTGGAAGATAAGACAGGACATATCACCATAGTTAAGGGGCTGATATGCCAACTGATAGGGGTTTATAAGTTTTATAACCATGCTTGAAGCCAAGTGTAACCTCAACTGCACCTCCATTGCCAAGTTGGTTTATAACTCCAATAAATAGGGTTTATCATAGATATATCATAGATATATCATATCTGTAGTATTCATGGGAGCTATAAGCCAGCCATAGCCAACCAACATAACTCAGTATCTCCTTGTCGTTTCCAGCTGTGAATTCCAAAAAACATCGCGCCAAGCTGCCGCCAAAGAGTCCTCCAAATCGTCATCCTCTGAGACTTCCTGTGGCGTAGCAATCCTAATGGGAATATTGAATCGGATACGATGGGATATTGATAGATTCATATTGTATACCTGTATAAATATATATATCCAACAATATGATGTTTGGGTGCGCTTGAAAATTGGGCACCCCAAAGTTCGAAAAAAAAGATGGGTAAACGAAGTTTGGTTTGTGGAGACACAACCGCTTCAAAGAAAACCATATTGGGAGTGAACCAATCAAAATGGATCTGCAACCTGGTAAAGTGCAACCCTGACACCCTGAAAGATGGGACCGGAAAGGTGCAGGGCTTTGAACTGAGAATGGGATATGGCCAAGTTGGGACAAAAAGAACCAAGCAAAATAAGCATCGGGTCTCATGCCCCTGTTTTCCATCTAGAGCATCATGACCCCGGACCCCAGATGCAGCTGATCTCGAGATCATTCACGACTGGTATGGGGTCAAACCTCTGGTACATCACCCATACCGTTAGGTTTGCCCAAAAATCATGTATACCCCCATAACTGCAATCTTTGAATGAAAAAGAAAACGATGTTCTAAACCTTTCGACAGAGGTGTTCCCGCCGCCCCAGACAGCTTGGTCAATGATGGTGAAATATCCACATTTTCAATAGTTCTGTGTATACATATATAAGTATATATATACACACACATATGTATGTAATCTCATCTACACCAACAGCGTTGGTAGAAAAAAAAAAGATGATAGGTATGATCTCAAATACATTTGCCCACCCAGCCCCGTTGAATTGATGGTAAAAATATACTCTGCAGCAATTCAACAGTTTGCTATGGAAGCCATGGCCCATTTAGTTCGATGATTTACCTGTTAAAAACATGTGATTGTCCATGTGTATCTTAAATTACCAGATATATCCAGAAATATGGTATTGGAGATATAAAGTTATCATAAATGTAATATCCCATTCTACACGCGTTCTAACTATCAGTTACTATGTTCTAACAAAATCTTAGGGCGCGTAAGTATATTTATGTATATATATATATATATCATCCTGGAGTGGACAGAATACAGTAGAATCACAAAAATCCGCGCCAAAAATGTGAATGTGGTTGAACATTCCATATTCTGTCTAATGTCAGCAAAGCAATAGTAAACCATCCCCTTAAAATTACCATAGGGTGTTATAAACCATAAATGCATATGGGTGGTTTATCCTTACTTTACTGTCATCCAGGATGACCATAGAAATAGTTTCAGCAACAGCATAGCGATTATAAACTATTTTACCAGCAAACCTATAACCATGGTAACCATGGGTTTCAAGCCGAAAATCATCATCCATGACTTGGATGGCTTACCCTCTGGTAATTTAACGTACAGTAGCTGTTGAAAATGGCCATTAATAGTTCATTTTCCCATTAAAAATGGTGGATCTTTCCATAGCTACGTTAAATTACCAGAGGGTAACATCGAATGTAGGGAAACCTTACCGTAACCTTGGTGGATTTTAAGCCGATTTCGTCGCCAAGTCTCGGCCATGACCAAGTCCTTATCGCTGAAGCCTTTCACCTGATCCAAGACCGAAGCCTGGCGCTTCGTAAGTCTTCGGCGCGGCATGGCCCGGGGGCGGTCAAGGGTTGCTTGCCCATCTGAGTTCATGGTGGTTTTACGATGATTTTAGGATGATTTCATGTTGATTTACCCTTTCGGAAAACGTTTACAAAGATGTGGAAAACACCCTGGGGGAAACCCAGAAATGATCTACACATGGTGGGTTTTCCACATTGGTTTGTTCGTTTTGATGGTAAGTCGCCGGAAGGTGAAATTCAATACTTGGGATAATTAAACCAATTCTCAAGGTTTCCTACCGGCCCGTTTCGGTAGATTGCATTTTTCGGACCAAAAAGGAAAAGCCATGGGAACCACGCCATGGCCACCACATTTTTTGATGTTTTTCACACACCCCTTCTGGCGAGATTCCCAGGATTACTTCCAGCTGTTCATTCAGGCTACATGCCAGAAAATCATAGAAAATCCATCACCAAACACCATCAAATCCCATTCAACTCCCATAAAAGTCCCATCAAATCTCACCAAACCCCTGTTTTTTCAGGGCTTCCAGCCTATTCCAATCCTCGCTTTTCCGGGGCTTCCAGCCACCTACACATCCTGCACGTCCCAGACCTTGAAAGTGGAGGTTTTCATTTTCTGTCGCACTGCAGCCCCTGACCATCAACAGCACGGCAGGCGACACTGTGGTTTTCACGTCACTGTGGTTGTTTCAGCCATGTCAACACAATGTAATAATGTGGGTAAAGCAATGTCATGTTTACCACCCATGATTGGGAATGGTAACCATACCACCTATAAAAATGGTGATGACTGGTTTATGGCATTGTTTTACCCACATTACTCCAGGATAAACTACCATCGATGTGGAACACGGATATCAACCAGTTGCTGCACATCCAAATGATACTGATGGGGTAATGAGACATAATAAGTCATCTTCCAAGGTCAATCATCTGGCCAAAACTGGGCCGCTGAAACTAAGGGATAGAACTGATATAACCAATAATCGTTTGACCAAGAATTGTTGGTATAATTTGGTATGTATACAATATTATATATATATATTGTAATATATATATATATTGTATGTACAATGTTTGTTGGTTGAATGCGGTTAAATCTCCCATATAAAACTAGAGGTTAGTTTTTCATTCACCAACTTCTTTTCAAGTTCCGTGGTGACGAGAATTTTTCATCCAACTCTACGGGGCATTGTCCGGCCATATCCCCAAGCCCCCGTTCAGCCCACCCCTCAGAGTCACCATGGTTTAGGGGATGAAACCACATATGACTGGGAGCATTGATGGGGTGTTGAACATTAGATGGGATTGCAAAATATAACAGAGATTAACAGCTCAACATAGCTTTCAAGAGAGATTCCTAGCATTCCGGACTAACCTTGGGCCGAAACCACAAGCTAACCCCTGGCTGCGGAATGCTGCGGATACTCTCTTCCAAAATATGGAAGAAACTGACCATTCAACTCGCAAACACCTGGCATATGCTATAATTGGGATTTGGTGAGAGATTTTCGGGATTGTTGGACAGTGGAGTTGTGTCATTGGTTTTTTCAGCATGACTCAACTCCTCACCCCGCGCCTTCCGGCAACCACGTGATGAACAGCAGCTGGTCGCCTGGCAAATTTCGTAACCACAGCTTCCTCAGGATTTCATGGGCGATGGCCATCAACTGCAGCTATTCCCCCCTCTCCTTTACCATGACTCCGGAAAAAAACAAAAATAAACTCATTGGTATCACTACAGCTGGCTTTCCTGGTAGATTCTGGTAGATCTTTCGCACCTGCACAATCTTAGCACATGCATGTCAGAAGTTTATGGGATCAGAATCTATGCTGCTAGTGTCAACCCCTGAATCCACCGGCTGCCCAATAGGGGCACCAGGTTATTTTTTATATGAATACAACAAACGATTCTCACCATTGGGGACCAAACAATTCATCAACCAAGGTTGGTGAATCTGGTGGTGACATGTTTTTTTTCGGAGAAGGGATGACCTTTGGAGGCCCAACCTTCAAAAAATTCGTCCGGAAAGTTCATGAAAGTTCATGAATCTTGCAGTCAAAATCAGGAGTACCACTTTTGTGCGGCTTCATCAGCAAAATGCCACCAAGAAAATAAATGATATAAATGGTCCCAGATATGGTCTGATGTGGCCCCAGCGCAAGATCCATGGCCAGCCCTTGATTTTAGATATCATATCTCGTTTCTCCACTCAACTGTCAACGGATTGATTTGGGAATCATCAAACCAGGAACCCCTAGCCTATTCTATCCCCAGCATACCATCATGTTTGTTGCTCCAATCCCCATAACCACCAAACTTGTTGCTTTAAACGTCCCAAAATGCCCTGTTCACTACCCAATGTGTTCGCCTTTGGCGGCCATGATCACGAAGCAAGGCCTCGGCTGCTGACCAGGCGGGCTGTCCCCTGAAAAACTTGGCTCGGATGGCCTTCAGCATCTTAGTCCTCAAACGATTCAACAAATCGGCCAAAATCTCGAATCAAATCTCACTTCACATCTCCAGAATCCTAAAAAAATTCTCGACATTTTCCAGCCGCATGTTCCCCAGATTCCCAGCTGTTCCCAGCTGTTCCCAGCGGGCTTTCCGACTCTGTGGGCAACTTGCCCTTGAGCACAGATGGTCCCAGCGATGCTCCGAGCTCCAGAATTTCGGCAAAGAGCTCTTCCTGGTCCTTGGTCGTTCGTGGAAAATCGTGGTGAATCTCCTGGGGAGCCATCCATTTTTTGGGTGAAGATCAAACTGGTTGGTGAATTTGTTGAATGGTGAATTAAAAAATGAGATTTTGTTTAAAATTGTGTTTTTTTTTAATGGTGAATATCTATTGGGAATTCCAGTTTCATGGAAAATGTATGGTGTATTTATGGTGAATGATGGTGAAACATTGGTGAAGAATGGTGATATTTCGAAGATGGTGGTGAATCATGGTGAATCATGGAGAGTGGTAATCTAAGTGTTGTGTTTAAAATATGTTAAAATATTAGCGAATCATGGTGAACCTATATATATATGTTAAAATAATGGTAATACACTATATGTTGGTTAAGACATGTTGTGTATTTCGAGTGGTTGACGTGTTTAGGGGTGAAGAATAACCACATATATCATGGATATATGGTGTACGTATGGGATAGTTATTCAGGAGGAGTGATACTGTACCACTCTTTTGTCAACCGATGGAATATATTGGTGAATATCCCTGGATATTTCATGGAATATGTGGTGTATTGATGATATATACTTCATAGACATGGATTTTTCATGGTAAACCTGCAGGGAACTGATTGGAAATGATCCTTTTGCAAGCCCCAAAAAGAGAGAAGCGTGTCAAACCCGGATGTTGTACCCTCTGGTAAACCAACATAACTATGGAAAATCACCATTTTTGATGGGAAAATCCACTATAAATGGCAATTTTCAATAGCTATGTTAAATTACCAGAGGGTAGTTGATGTTTCCTCCAGAATTGCCAGGTCGTCAGCGTTTCTATCTTTTTGGGTGATGCTATATTGGATGTGTTATGGAATATATTGGTTACTGGTTATACAATGGGATTTAATGCAACCCTTGGGGAAAAATTCACCAGATATGTTATACACACACATTTTTGCATATACAATGGGATATGATGGGTATACATGCAATGTATGAAGCTGAGGAATACAGTCTGCGTATTGCACTTGGAGATATGTTTCTGTTTTTTCCTGGACGACCATCCTGGCTTGACACTTTTTGGCACCGTTTTCTGGGTTACTACAGGGGAAAAATCTTCAAAAACTGTCTTAGAGGAGTTATAATTTATTCATTTAAACAAATGCTAACAGTGTTGCTCTCATTAGAACGAAGTATAGTTTTTCATATACTTAAGAGATCATTAGAAAGATCTTTACAAGAGATACTATCCATATCTTAAGTCCGTGGGTCGAACCATTAGATCATGAATCTTCACTCGTTTTTCGTGGTGAAATTTGGATGTTTCGACCCATCGTTTGGAGCTGAGTGATCCACCAATTTGGCCACCACGGCAAGCCTTGAAGGGGCGGACTGTGGACAAGGTCAGATGCAGAAAGAAACATATCGTGGCTACAAAATTGTCGAAAATAGATGTCTGATATCTAGTGTACCCAAGAAAATGATGTAAACAATAGATGGTCTAGGTGCTATAAAACATATAAATGGTAAATAGATTGTGGTAAATGATGAAGTTGTTGATGGTAAATTATGGTAAACTATGGTAAATTATGGTACATTGTGGTAAATGATGGTAAACTGATGGTAAATCTTAATATGGTTCATATCTAGGGATATCGATTTATGATATTTTAAACATGAGTTGCCTAATAAAAATGGGGATATAACGGAATATAAATACAACGAAAAGTACGATGTTGGGTTTGCCTCAAAATTGCGGACACCCAAAAACTATCAAAAACTGCCATTTCATGGAGAACATTATGATGACCATTGGGATTGTGGGTGCCCACTTTTGAGACATGCCCATCATGCCCATATGAATGATTGTACACACAAATTGGTTGGATCTCCAGCAGTGTTGAAAAGTGTTTAACACCACACGGAAACGGGGAAACAACGAATCGCTGGTATATTTAAGGGAGGACCTCCAAAATTCAGCACATCTAAAAGTTACAAATATATTCAAAAAAAACAATAATAGTTATAAGTGCATCGGCCGAGACGGACACATGAAGGATCACGCAGCATACTGGACCCAGTGCGTTCCAATGACAAAACCATGTCCCAACAACCTTTACAAAGATGTACACAAATTCCCGGAAAAAAAGATAAGGAAAGTCATGCTGAATTAGTGACAGATCATGTTTTCACTTTTTACTACCTTTTCTAGGGTTACTCCACCTTGCTAGCTGCGGAGCGGACGTTTCGTCGGCTCACGCACCCATGTGCAATCATCCTGGAGTAGATATATAGACTGTGGGTAAAACAATACCATTTGCACCATCCCCCAGTCATCACCATAAATTTATGTGGTATAAACTAACCATTCCCAATCATGGGTGGTTTATGACATTGTTTTACCCACGTCATGGGTGTTTTCATGCTTTTTCCGCGGGCTCTAGGGGTCTGTCCTGGTTACAGTGCCTGGCCGCAGCTTTTTTCCAGCGCATGCCATACCGCCGCGCTTCAACAGCTTCAACTTGCAAGATAATAAGCAGCTGTTCCCTGCAAGGGAAAGAAACAAACACCAAGGGCAGTTTTGGAATACCTGAAATCTCAAAATTGGAAGAAATAGGACAGAAGAAGGGAGATATTCCTGGGAAGCCAGATGCAGTTAGAGAAATCTGGAAATGTGTGGTCTTAAAAATAGGCCATCAAGGAGACCAGAAATGGCGCTACTTGTTTTGAGCCACGGCCAATACACTTTCGTCGTATGTAAGATAATTCAAGACTTTATCTCAATGGATGTTGCTGTTTTGGGATTAAATGCAGCCAAAAAGTACATGATGACACAGTTTGGGTTACTCAGATTGGAAGTGCACATCATGATTGTAGCCTAACCTAACCACGAATTTGCTATAAATTCTAGTTTATAAACTTCCCCATGCCCGGAAACATAATTCACAGAAGCACCTTGACGTTTGCATGGCTTCGAATCTACTGGCATCTTTGGCGAATTTGGACCGGTCTGAAAATAATGCGCCCCAATGTGTTGAAGGAGGACCTCATGTCACCTTTTTGAATAGCCATAAATATTGGTGAAATCCATGGAAATCCCCCATTTTCAGGTACCAAAGCCGAAAGATCTCTCCTCACTTCTTGGCGGCCTTGCTCTGGTAATGGGAACCTCGACCGTGGTTTGCAGTAGGTTCAGCTGAGATACACATGTCACTTGTCTTGACTTTTAGCCAAACAATCTTGGGATCTACTCTCCAGGAAAAAAAAATATGGCTGGCAAAAGGCCTTGTGTGGGGATTGCTGTATGTTTGAACATGGAGATTTCAAGTTGCCAAGCAGGTTGTGGATTGATTTGTGTTGATTTCAAAGGCAAAGATAGACACAGCCTCCTCATTCATCCCTTCCCCTCATTGTATTAAAACCCCCATAAGACATAAGACCTCAAAATTAGTACGAATCTATAATACTAAACTATCGTTTTAGCAACAAGTACCGAAATAACAGCCACTTTGCCCTCACCATAAAGTCCCACTAAATCACCACAAATCCCGGTTCACCACATGGCCGAGGCTCCAATCTGTGGATTAGCCACCATGAAGTGCTCCTTTCCCACTGCGTAGATGGCCTCGTAGAGGAAGATTCATCTTATGTTCAAAGATAGATATATATATATTAATATTAGTGTATGTATATAGTGTATGTATATAGTGTATGTATTTATGTATGTATGTATGTATGTAGGTAGGTAGGTAGGTATGTATGTGTGTATGTGTGTATGTGTGTATGTGTGTATGTGTGTGTCTGTGTGTGTGTCTGTGTGTGTGTGTGTCTGTGTGTGTCTGTGTGTGTGTCTGTGTGTCTGTGTGTAGGAAGGAAGGAAGGAAGGAAGGAAGGAAGGAAGGAAGGAAGGAAGGATGGATGGATGGATGGATGGATGGATGGATGGACGGAGGATCATTCCAAGTCTCATGCCCGGGGTTTTCGTCTCTCGCACGGCGTTTAAACAGGGAACATACCCAAATTTTAAGGCGCGCGGTTTCCTACTGAAATTTGGAGGTTTCTAAAATGGGGGTACTTTCAAATCATCCGAAATTAGACCCTTTTAGGTATGAAACCTATTGTTTTGGGGATCCTCCATTTTAGGAAACCCCTATTTAGTGATTGCCAGAAATTGTAATTTTAATGATAGGGACTTTACTCCAGAAATTGCCCAAGAGAAGCAGGCTCGCTCGCAAATCTTCGTGTGTCCACCATCTTCGCCACCATCTTCCATCCCAAAGAGGGGTCTCCACACATCATTTCGGCTGGCTCGGCCAAAAAAAAATCGTCTTACAGAGCCCATTTTACTTCCCTTCCACTGGCTAACTATCAATAATAATCCCAGCAACCCCCAGCAACCCATCCATTCCCTACGTAAAACGCACCAGGACCCGTTTATGGATGGTGGAGTTGAACCCCATCATCGGACCCCATCTTCGACCTCTTTGACCCAGCCTGAGGGGGCTTGTGCTCCAGGATGAACTTACTGCGAAGGCAGTGAACCTTAGGGCGATCCTTTTCACGTGGCCCATGGAAAATTGTGGGAAATGCATGGGAAATCCCCGAACTCAATGGAGGTTTCATGAGGTTTCTAGCTGGGAAAATCATCTATGAATGGCTCATTACAGCTATGTCAGTTGACCAGAGGGTATAATTCTGCCTTGATACTTGATGAAGTCGCAGGTCCCAAGGATAGAAATGCTTCAGCTTGAGACACAAAACACCTTCGATTCTAGGAAGAAACAAGAGCCCTGCCCTGGCAAACACCATGAAAAAAACCCAAAGTCTTCATGATCTGCTCCAATTCCATCCATTCCAAGTCCAACGAGTCCAAAGCAGCTGGATTGGTTGAGAAATGAGTGGCAGCCGTGCGTTTCGCACAGGTCCTGAGAGCTGATCGTGGTCAGCCAATGGATTGGTTTCTGGGAACCCCGCAAAAACCAAGGGGGGGGTTGATGGAAAATTCCTATCAACCAATCCGGTGATGACAGGCGTGCCAACGAGGGACAAAAATCCTAGGATCCAATGGGTTGAATCATCCAATAATATATGGAAAACTAAATTATTACTATCTCTTTTAATATTTTTGACATAACTATCATCCAACTATCCAATGGTTATGAATGAATATTACTATCCTAATGACTATCCGATATTTCTTGCTGTTTAAATCGTCATGTCATGTTCCCTCTGAAGATTCCCTGAGCTAACTCGGGGCTAACGAGTTGCCATTGGATTCACCGTTGGATTCACCGAGCAGCGAGGGCGCTCTGTCCAATGGTTTTAGAAGCTTCGTTCGCCTCATCTAAACCATCTAAAACTTGGCCATAGCTTGGGATTAGCCTCTGGTCATGACTAACAGTTTGATATTGAAAATCACCATTTGTAATAGGTAAACCATCTATTTCTATGGGCCATTTTCCATAGCTATGTTAGTTTACCAGAGGCTATTGCCCCTGAAAATTCAGGTCTCAAACCCACCTGGCGTTGCCGATGGGCCCGAGGTCCGAGGGGCTCATACTTTTCGGTGCTCTCGTCACCCTCTGCTTCCTCAGTTGAGCTGGGCCAGGTCTTCGCCGTCGCCCATATGTGGAGATCCCATTGGGAAGCACCAATGGACCCACAAAAGGCTAGTAATTCTTCATGGTTGACCAAGTTGACCATGCATGCTTTGTGATTGTGAGCCATTCCCACAACGAGGATTCTTGAGCAACGGTTTCCAAGAAAGAACAGAGGGCTGACTTGATTTGGCCAGTAAACAATCGTGAGTCTGTACTGTATATAAGAACTCACTGAATTGGCTTTACTGGCTGATTGATATGGATTCCCACAATTGATGGAAATAACTGCCAATGAACCACTGACCATCCCAACTGTAGTAGGAAAAAAACATATGAATTCATATAGTACGAGCATGAATCAATATGAATCAATAGAGATTTGGCCACGGCTGAGTTCACATTTTAAAAATATTGCTGCGAAGATTCCCAGTGAAATGGTTGAAAACAACAACAACAACAACAACAACAACAACAACAACAACAACAACAACAACAGGACAGTGAGGAGGGAAAATGGAACCAGCCTTGATGCAAATATGGGAATGACAAACCCATGAGAATAGTTTTACAAATTCTTGCAAAGCTTCCAGAGTCCTAGAGTTCAATGGAAGCGAACTGCAGAGACGTTTTCAGATTCCACCCAAAGGGGGGCCTTCACCAGTTGTGACATGGGTCTATGTGTACTTTCCTCTGACTAGGGGTCATCTACAAAGTTTCTATTTTCCTTTGCACCTTCCATCCTCTCTACATGTCAGTCCTCACATGGCTTTGTTTCACAATTATGGGAAAACCGTAAGACCCCTAAATCCCATGGTTGCTCGGCTCATCATTTTTCCATCAAATAATCATCAACTGGAAGACCAAACATCCACCATGTCAACATCCATCAACATCTCTCAACGATCAGCCATCAAGTCTCTTCGAAACGCTTCCAAACGAACTCCAACATCAAGTTGTGGATGATCAAATGCAGCACAAAGGCAGCAAGGATGCTGCACCATAGCACTCGACCTGACGTCATCGAGTGACCAAATGCTGCACCCATCGAGGATTCTCCGAAACAACGGTGTTGTTTCAACAACTGTCAAAAGTTGTGTAGATACTCCACTGAAAAATCCTATGGTCAAAGGCCAATCTGCACAGGGCGGGCATGGGTCAAACAGGGTCCCTTGGGACCTATGGAAATGACCATGTTATGACCATATTATGACCATATTATGACTGGGGGTTTATATCCATTCACAAGCCATAACCTCTGGTATTCACGTTTACAGTTTGCTATTGAAGCCATGGCCCAGTCGAAATAGTGGATTTTCCCATGAAAAATCGTGGATTTTCCCAGTTCGTTATGTCAACGTTGTAACTGCCATAGGTAGCCAGGGCCCCCCCCAGGGCCCCCCCCAGGGCCCCCCCGGCCCGGGAAACTCGCCGCAGGCAGGGCCTTTGAGGACGCCGGAGCCCAGCTCTTTGCCGCCCGATTCCTGGTTGGCCTTGAAGACCAAGGCGCCAGCCAGGATGGCCACCTGAAGGATCCATGTCCCACGGAAGTGGAGAGATTTCTTGGAGCTACATGGAGTCTATAGTGATACTATAGAGTATATTTCATATGGGGATTGATGGATCAGTAATATGGCATAATAAAAATCATAAACATTACTTTTTTGTGTCTGGGAAAATCCAGAGTTATTCTATTTCTTGTGGGTTAGCCTCTGGTAATTCAATGTAGCTATTGAAGCCATGGCCCAGTCGAAATAGTGGATTTACCCATGAATAATGGTGATTTTCTATAGCCATGTTAGTCATTACCAGAGGGTAAGTTAGGTCCTAAGTCATATGAAAATACCCGTCATCCCAGTGATGACCATGACTTAGGAAATCTTAGGAACTTGAAACCCGGGAACACGGACTTGAGAAACCCCCAGCTTGAGCAGCAAGAAAATGGAAACTATGGGATGATTTAGAATCATTGGATCTGTGGATGGAACTAGGGATATTAAGGAGGTGATGTGTGTATATATATATTGATATGATTGCATAAGATGCGGATTTATCCACCAAAAATGGGCAGTGAAACCACATAGAATGGAAGTATGGGATAAACTTTAGGAGAGGGGGTCTGTCTGGAAATGGACGAATCAACCAAAAATATCGATGGGTATGGAGATAGAACTGGTATATCATGGGATTTTTTTGGGGGATAAAGCTTGGCATTTGGGTCAAAAACCACCGAACTACCAAGAATGGAGGATATTATATACATATATATATACCCTCTGGTAAACTAACATAACTATAGAAAATCACCATTTTCAATGGGTAAATCCACTATAAATGACAATTTTCAATAGCTATGAAAAATTACCAGAGGGTATATATATATATATATATGGCTTAGCCGGGATAGGGTACAGGGGGGGACTGCCCTTCAGTTGCTGAAGGTACCCACACCATCATCATCAAGGCGCAGGGATGGAGAACAGCTTCTGCGCCAAGTTGTGCACTTCGGGGCTGGACCACTGATACTTACAGACGTATCGCAAGACCTTCACCTCGGAAATTCACCGGATTTCTGACTGGCTATGGCAAAATTGGTCCAAAATCCTCATGAACATCAACTAGCTGGTCTGGATCATCCCCCCAAATATGCTATGAATTGTAACTTGGTCCATCCCCCATAGTGGAACCATGAAAAATCATGGTCTGTTTTTTCCCATCTACAGCGCATCCAAAAACCATCTCCATCAGTGGGTCCCTTTATATGGCCGCAGAAATCAGGATCCTGGGACCCGAATACCTGCTTGAATGTGCATCCCAAGTATCCCAAGTTAAGTGGACAACAATCATATCATATCACCATATCACCACCACTTTGGATATGGAACATCTTGGAACATCCCTGGTGATCCATGGCCTTCTTTAAGGGATTTTTTACTGGCCTATGCTTCGGCGCTGAAATCCACCGCATCCAAGCTGCCCGGTCATAGCTGTAGAGGTAGACATGGGAGACAATCAAGGCACCAAAGGTCATTGCCATGTAGGCGGGCGAAATGAAGGGAATGCACGTCACCTGACCGGATGAGACCGGACCGTGGCGTTTTGGGAAGTTGACCATCGGAGCCCAGGGCAACCCCCAACGTTTATGGATGTGATTTGTGTGACAAATGGCTGGAAACTCCCAACTTTTAATGAATGGGAAAATATACAGGGAAAAAAGTCGAAAAGAACAGGATCACATCCAAACCCCGCAAGTTGAGGCCGCAACGGCATATTTCTCACTTTGGGGGACTCACTGGCAATACACAATGATACTCACAATCCATCCGCTATCCCTTCCCTGAAAATCAATCCACCCTTTTGGAAACCCACCAAGTCAAAATCCTCATTGTTCAACACCAAGTAGTTCACCAGTTACAAATCATCTCTACCTTGAAAAATACATACAATAAATGGCTCGGTGGCCATATTTACAGCCAGAGTGCTAGATGAACATGTATTTTTATAGTCAAAAAAACAGAAGCATGTAGAATCTATCATGTGCTTGGGAAACTCTTAGCAGCTCCTTGGCTCCCCATTTTTTTCAGGAATATAGTTCCTAACCCGTCCCTACATTCACCACCATAGTGCTGCATTCGTCCGTTTCAAAAAGCACATCTCTGTCATTCCATGAAACACTGGTTGATTTTGAATGGGATTCCCGGTTCATGGCTAAGACAATATGTGTATATATATATATATGTATAATACATATATATATATAGTGTATATAATGTGTATGTATATATATATATATTTATATTATGGTAGTCTGGTAGTACAACCCCAAGACTAATCATCAACCATCCATTCGTCAACTCTCTCCCCCCATCTCCATGATTTTCATCAAAGCTCAAAACAAAACATGGTTCAGCAATTGCTTCAACCTCTTCAATCCCAACCATCTCACACAGTTGGGTCTTGAACTTGGGAAAAATTCATGAAAAAAAACAACTACAAAAATATATCTATCACCCTCTGGTTATTTAACATAGCTATGGAAGGCATGGCCCATTAAAAAAAAAAGATCAACATGATGAGTTGCCTATTCAAAGTGGGGATGTTCCAGTTCTCTATGTTAAATTACCGGAGGGTATATTCCCACAAAATTCTGGTTGAAATCTAACAGAGTTGGGTGTTGAACTTGCTATACTAACTAGGCTCAATTCCCCACTGATCTCCCCACTGATCTCCCACAATTTCTGGTTGCTGCTCTCTATTCCTTCCCCACAACTCCGTAGCCACCAGGATCACGTTGAAGATGCAGTCTGCATAGCGTCCTGGTTCCATCTCGCCCAACTCGAAGGCCTGGCGTTAAACCTGGGGGGTTCCTGACCAAATTGGGAGATCATTTGGGAGATCTACCATCTGGTTATGACTAACATAGCCATGGAAAATCCACCCATTTTTAATAGGTAAACCATCTATTTCTATGGGCCATCTATACCATGGCTATGTTAAATAACCAGAGGGTATAACCAAACATAATGAGAAATTGGAGGAATCACGCAACAAAAAATTGAGAGAGTGGATGATTCATAAGAATACATAGGGGGATATTCAGAGATATCTATATCTCACCGGGATTTCGCGTCAACCAACGGAGGGCTCCGGGCAGCAAAAAGTGGGGAACTTCACCAAAGAATGGCGATAAATAATTGGGATATTGTCGAAATATCATGGGGGCTATACTCATACTATACTTAACGATACTTAAGGTGTGTATATATATATATAATGGGGAATGGAACCGAACCAGTTTCGAACCAATCAAACATAGAGGATCCAACCACCAATCGAATGTGGATTTCAGGACAAGAGGACTGGATTGAACCAAAGATTGCAATGGAAAATCACCAATTTATAGATGACTTGCCAATGTGTATAGAGCCCATTGATAGGGGATGTCCGGATGTCCCATTGCCATGAATCACTGGCTAAGCAATTTTTTTTTTCATTGGCTCAAAATGTAAATCCATAAGAACAAACTATGTGTACCCACTGACTTTCCATCTAAACCACGCGGACATTTCCACCAAAAACCAACATGGCCAAAAAAAAACCAAGTGCTTGATGGTTTCAACCCATTGCGGCTGCCTTCTCAGCCATTTCACCTCGAATACGTGGATTGGAGCCAACTAAGATCCTGAAGCTGAGGATTCCTGGAAAATTCCCACCGGGCCCCTGGGACGGACTTGGTCAGAAAAGGTCGGCAAAATGTAGGGATCCCTTTGTTTCACCGAAAAACCATGGAGAAAACACTTGGGCGCTCCTGGCGATGTGAGCAGGTAGGAGCTGGGCAATCACCGGCTCAAAAAGGAAAGGCCTCGGTAGTCGTGAAGTCATGGCTTCATAGTGCCCTCTGGTACTTTGTTACAGTTTGTTACATAGCTATTGAAGCCATGGCCCTAATCGAAATAGTTGTTTTACCGAACTTAAAGATGGCGATGTTCCATAATTGGCTATGTATTCAAGTTTGACCCGTCCCTGAAAACGGCTGTCAGGGTTACCACCTTGGATCTGGGAGAGCGTATCGGCCATGGTGAAGGCAACCAACCCCTAGCACCTGTGAGGTATTTCATTTGGAGTTGCCTAACCTTTCCAAGGTCTACCTATGTCAGGCTTATTAGGTGAGGTAAGATAGGTAAGATCCCTCAAACACCGTACCTCGCCATACCAAGGGGCACGAAGAAGGTACATGGCCAGCAATACTTGAAAAGCAGCTTCCCCAGCGACTTCTGCATGGGGTAGGACTCAAAGATATCCTCCCAACGAGGCAAAATCCCACCAACCTTCGATTCATGGGCTGCTCCCAACACCCCAGTTACCCCAACGGGTGGAAATTTATACCCCAACAAGTGACGGTGATTCACTATGATTCACCAGCTCATGACAGGGGTCGATCTGTTTGTCCCAGCCTCGTTGGGGACCCAGCTGTTGTTGTTGTCTTTGCGAGAAAAAAAGTGTGCGTTCAGCTTACCCCAAGGTAAATTTCAACAGAAAGATATAAAAAGTCATCTTTTAAAATCGGGGAATGATCTGCTTTTGTGGCTTGTCCATACCTATGTTAGTTCACTGGATGGTAGATTTCTTGATATTTCTTGCCTAACTCTTGTCTTTGAGTCTTGAAGAATGAACAAACTCTTTGCGTTTAAGTCAATGTTTACCCCATTCTCACTATTTTAGAATTTCCGAAAAAATGATGGTCCAAAACCGAATACTCCTCATTCCACTGGACTACCCTACTGTTAAATTTTACACAGATATGGAAACCCCCCCATTAAAAGTAGATCATTGTTTCTATTGATACCTGTGGATTTTCATCTGTACCCTCTGGTCATTTAACATGGCTATGGCAAATGACCTATAAATAGATTTGTTTAAAAAAAACATGATTTACCTGTTTTCAATAGCATGGTGGTTTTCCAGTTCGCTATGGTATATTCCCACTACAACTATAAAATTACAAAAGCTCATTATATACCTACGTCATATACCCGTCATATACCCACTAGATACCCACTATATACCCATCATATACCCATCTGGTTGGTGGTTGACCTACCCCTCTGAAAAATGATGGAGTTCGTCAGCTGGAATTATGACATTCCAAAAAAAATTCTGGAAAGTCATAAAATTCCATGGCATTCCATGGTTCCAAACCACCAACAAGATACATCATATGGGTATGGGTCAAAATTAGGTACCCCAAAATTATGGATGGTTAATACTAAACTAGACATTTCCATCTGTGGTCCCCTAGGTCTTCCATTTCGACCCACATCCATATATACCCATCATATCCCACTTCGCTAAGCCTTAACCGTTAAGGGATCCAGCACATCCCTCCTGAAAGTTCGTCATCGCACCCAAAAGTTGTCCATCTGCTGTGTGCACTCCTAAAAAATTGCCAGCGACACAGGTTTAACATCAAGAAAGTGGAGTCGCAAATGGATTGGTTCAAGCACAGTTCTACATAAAAATCATGAAACACATGGGAAAATATGGGTTAAGATAATTTATGTAAGGAAAAATTCACAGGAAATCTTCCATAGTTCATGGGAAGCCATGATTTCCGGTGTCAATTTATATTGAACCAAACCATTTTCAGATTCGAAGTATTGCTATCATTGCTATTAGCAATCATCAATAGTGTGATTGAGTTGAATTTGTCTGAAAACGGGATACCCCAAAATTCAGTGGCTTGTCATCATCTTCACATTGAGCTTTGGATCAGGAAAAACCGGCTGAACCATGAAGAAAATTCATCTCGAGGGTTTTCTATAAATGGAGGTACCCCTAAATCATCCTAATTTTAATAGGATGTTCCATTCTTTTCACCATCCAGCTATTGGGGATCCCGCATCATCCCCCATCTATAGAAAGCCCTATGTCTTGCTCCAATATCAACTGCTAACCATGGGTCAACTGATTCTGAGATCGAGGGGCCGACTCCTACCATCTGCAAGTAGCTTAGGTAGGTTTGCAGCCTCATTTTGTCTCGACTCAGTCGCACTGAAGAAAATGTGATCATTCGTGTAGAGATGAATGATCATGACCATGACAATCGAATTGGAAGAATTAGCATAGTTCTATGATTTCCGTACGTTCATTCATGAGTCACTATGGACTCGAAAAGCCAAAAATGTGTCCTGCACATCTGCTCTTTATAAATTACATTTCTATCAAGTGGGTTTTCACTTTGGAGGATTGGAATGCTGAGCCAGAATGTTCTTTCAAGAGGTGGTTCCACCTGAAAGTTTGGATCTCCTTGAATTTCAGCATCGATTCGCTGTGGTGATTCGTGTTTGATTCCGGTTCCCTTGTTTGGGGTTGAGTGATGTACTGTCAACCTTGATTGATGTACTGATGGTACGTCGCGACGCGACCACTTCAGATACCCCTACCATGCCCAAAGATCGAAAAAAGTATGTTGTGTTGCAAGATATCAACTCCTCCTCCACAAATCGAATGGGATTTCAGTGCTATTAACGATACCTAAAAAATTACCGTTGAACCCCCGCATCCGAGCAACATAATGTCCAAGATCAGGTTCAGAACCAGAGCGGCGTTGTAAAAGACCGTGTAGCTGCGATGCACCTAGACGATGATGTCAGATATTAAGTGGTATATATATATTATGTATACATATATTATGTATATATATATACATATATATATATATAACCCATATTTGACTGGGGGTATTCCCAATTGGGGTCAGAATCTGCTTTAGTAATCCCTCCCCATCGAAGTTCCAATCGAAAGCCTGGTGCTTTGGCCACAAAAAGGATGGAGGATGCCACAATATGTTTTGAATGTGCAGATATTGCCAAACATACCCTCTGGTAACTCAACATAGCTATGGAAAATGGCCATGTATAGTTGATATACCCATTAAAAATGGTGATTTTCCATAGTTACAGATGATTTACCTACACAATTGTGATGTTCCATGATTTTCCACAGCTATCTTAGCATTGACCTGGGGGAGTTTCAACATGGAGCGAGGGGATATGTACAAGCCATTTTGATGGATATACCATTGATATACCATTGGATACAAACATTTGTATAGATGTTGGTTGATATTACATATCATGTTGCTTGATGTACCAGTGATATAAATCAGGCAAAAACTGGGAACTCATCAAAAGATGATGGTCTTGTTAGAGTAACAGCCACGGATCGGTTGGGATTCCCCCCACAAAACCATCGCCAGAAGCTGCATTGCCCTGCGCCCACCTGATCCTCGTACCAAAAGCCCGCTTTCTTGGCTGCAATGGAACTACAAACGAAGAGGCCGATCTGCGACAGCACCACTAATGTCACGAAGATGCCCTCGGAAAACTCACCTAACAGGGCAGAGAAACCATGCGCGGAGCTAAACCTCCCGTCCACTTGGGATGGTTCTGATTCCCTAGCGCCTGGCTCGTCGCCATTGGCATACGTGAAGGAGGCCATGTAGAAGGCGTAAGGCAAGTAGAGAAGCAGAGTCCACAGCCTCGTTGCCGAAAAGGATTTTCCGGGCTTGAGTCAAAGCTCATGCAAAATATGAAAATATCATATATAACATATTATATATCATATATCATATATCATATATTATATATTATATATTATATACTATATGTCATATACTATATATTGTATATTGTATAATATACATTGTGATAGAAAATATATTATATATTATATTATTATGTATTATTACATATATAATTATACATATATGTATTTAGATGTATTTAGAATATTTGCACATACAAATATAATATATAATAATATATATATATACAATTAATTAATTACTTATCTATGAATATATTCGTAGCTAATGGTCACGCTTGCCTTTCATCTGGCCGTGGGACGCTCAAGCCCTGAAGCAACTCCCAGTTCGAATGCTACAAAGCTATGGATCGTATGAAATTAACAAATAGCTTTGGATAATGACTTCCAAATAAATTTATTAACATGTGTTTAATCCAAAACGAATCATATCGGATAATGATTGACAAAAAATAGAGAGATCATGAGAAATCACACTTTGAATTGATGAGTATTGATGTTCCGGCCCTGAAATATCCGAATGCCTCTGGTTTTCTCACTGCTTCCCGGACCCTGGATCGCCTTGCGACTCCCAAGCCCAAGTGACAAACAGGCTCCGGAGACCAGCAGAGTTCCCTGGAAGAGGTTCCTTCAGTGGCAGGAACCCCATTCATTTTTGGCACCCGTGGCGTAAAACCAAGGATCCCATTTTTGCAAATGGTGTGTATAGAAAATCACCATTTCGAATAGGTAAATCAATGTAAATCAACTATAAATGGGGTATGTTCAATAGCTATATTAAATTACCAGAGGGTAACATTCAAGATCAACCCAACCGCTGACTGCTAACTCTGTGTGTCTGAAAACGCTGGTGACTCTTCTCACCATTGGGGGGAACCCCTGCAGGGAAACAAACAGTTGGATGATGACTTAGCTTTGGCTTAGCCTGGTAATCCAACCTGGGACTGCAAATCCGTCCGAAAAAGCAAGTCGACAGGAATACCCTGCGTTCTCTATTTTGGCTGGTTTGCATCTCCTTGGAGCTTGCCAATAAAAGTATGAAGCTTCCATTGTCATCCTCAGTACGTTGCGTACCCCGAACTAACCATCACGCTTTTTCACGCTTTTCGGACCGTCCCAATGACTCGGCGAAGCGGAATCGCTGGGCAACTTTCAGCCAGCCACCTCCAGAAACACCTTAAAGGTACCGTAGCGAGCGCACGCTGGAGACCTTGACTTGAGATTCCATCAGCACCTCATCTGCCAGTTGTACCAAGCCTGCACGTATGCGTAAGGCCAGGCATTGCGTCCAAAACTGCAGGACATTGCTCTCTGGACGAAGATGCAGTAGTTTTATGGGTCGGTTTGCTGATCTCCACACTCCCTGCACCCAATCAGACAGATAGTTGGTGCGGCGGACAAAGTCAATGTGCTTGGTGTCTCGCTCTCCTTCAACCCATTGCTTTCTGCTTTTGATGTGTCTAACACCAGTCCGCCGGGTCTGGTGTTCAAAGATTACATTGACCTGAAACCAAGAGATACATCTAACAGGCTCGCTTGGGTCGACAAGTTGGTGAAGCCAACTCAGGAGTTCCTCGGCATAGGGGTACATGTACTTACCGGGGAGGCAGTCTACTGGGATTGGACTAAAATCGGCTTCGGCGATTTCTTCTCTGGAGATTCTTTCAGCATGCTGCTTGTCAGGAGGCTTCCCAGTCCCAGAGCGGACCGCATGTTTTCCAACTTGGATCAAGGTTCGGTGAACGTGGTTGCGGAGCATATGGATGTGAGCTATTTCTTGTTGAAGGGACTGCCACAGCTTATATAAACCAACATGTTGGTACACTGCAGTGTCGGCGACATGGTCAGCAGCTGCATTTCCTTTGAAAACCCATGCTTCATATTCATCATCCGCTGTAGAGACATCTTGGTGGCTACATACTTTTGTTACGCCTAGAAAGAAAACTCCTAGCTGTCGAACCCGCTGGTGCAAGATTTTCCAAAGGTCTGCATCTTTTTGATTGGGTTTAAAGTAGCATTGTTTTTGCTGAAACTTCAAAATTCTCCTATAGACCAGATCGTTATCAGTCCACAAGTGCAACTCACGGCCAATCTGGAGGGCATATTCACATGCACTTATTGCTGCGGTGATCTCTCCACGCAAAGCAGTTTGAACATGACCTGGGACAACGCCTCCGGCTAATGGCCAAAAATTTTGTAAATTGGTTTCAGCAATAACTACTCCCCAAGACGCAAGTTTGCTTAAGGAACATGTTGGTGCTCTACAACTACCATCCGTGAAAGCAAACACTTGTGCTGGAAGTTCAGGTGGGCTTACAAACAAGGAACTTTCGGAAGCTAGGCTTTGCAACATTTTTCGGTATGGATTCAACGATGGCGGCTCAGGCATCCACCCATGTGCGGCAATGCACGGCTTCATCTCTGCAATGCTCTTGGCTTGATCCATGGTGACCGTTCTTTGTGCTATAAAGTGTTCACATAGCCACTGTCGATGGACCTGGGAGTCTGGCTTGCCACAAAACTGGCATGTGGTGTCGGAGTCAGGTTGTTGATGCTTCCTTCTATCAGCTGTAAAGAAAGTACCATTCAAACACACTCGGAGAATTGACTTTTCTTCAGCTGACAGGTGCTTGGTTCCTGCCATGGTGAGCTTGGAGCTCGTCCACTGGATGCCATCAAAGGTTTTCCTATGGATTACCATGCCACGTGTTCTGGCTTGCCATGCATCTGACAACCTGTCTTTAAGTTCTTGCACCGGGCATTCTCTTAAGTCTATGGGTGATCCAAGGTGATCGACAAAACCTACCCCATGGGACCATGACCATGCTATTTGATGCAACCTGGTGAGCAAGACCGACATAGGACCAGGACGTGGGACGTATGTTTTGCGGGTGTGGTGCAGTTCGCTCATGCAATACAACGTGCAGTCATCGGTGAGGTTGTGTTCTCTGTACATCATCACAGTTTGCAACAGGGCATAATACTGTGGGTCTACAGCTGGCCCTTCGATCAAAGCAAGGTGGATGTAGGGCGATGCCCCGCTACTGTGTTCCCCCAGGCCTTGCAATGCCCCTGTACGGAGCTTATCAAAGTGGTCATCGGCCATGTGCACTGAAGAGACCCCATGTAGGCAAGAAGGCCATGCTTTGGTGATCAACGCACGTACTTTCTGGGCATATGGCGCTAGTGAACGGGCAAGACGTCCCCAAAGTGCTTTGATTTCTTCACACCTGTTGGTGATGGTGGCATTGGTGACTACTTTGCTGTATTGCACATGCCCTCCAAGGTCACGGGCGCTCAACTTGGTGATCATCTCCTCCGCTCGGAGGTTTTTCCGCTGTGAGGCATTTACCGACCATGCATAGGATTTGTCATTGTCTATGGCTACATCCATTAGGTCACTGTATTGGTGGAACGCTTCGAGGGCTCTCAAGGCTGGTTCTGATGATGGTGCAGTGGCTTCTATATTGTCAACATAGCTCCACAGTGTCACCGACGGGTGGCGGAGTCTCATATAGAAGTGGCCCACCAGGTTGTGCGCCAACATCGCTGTCACCGACAGTGCACATCCCTCTGGATAACCTGTGGTGGATCGAAGACTTGGGCCTACGCAATTATGAAGCTTAAACCTCCTTTCCATGGACACTAAAGCATTACCCCATGCAAGCATGATACGTGGTGCAACGTTGAGAAGGGCCATGAAATGCATGATGGGCGTTCGTGGCAGCATGTTAAAGGCTTTAATCAGGTCTACCACCCATCCGGAGAGGCTTCCTTGGTTGAGTTGGGCTAGTTCGATTTCCTGCATCACACCATACCAAACATGTGCTGAGTGTTTACCCGGCAAATTGCCAGTGCATGTGGAAGGCGCAAGCGGTGCCAAATGGGCCAACACCTGTCTGGCACGTATGGACGACCATGTTCTGTAACCCAGGCTGAACAAGGTTATTGGCCTATATTGGTTGACCGTCTCTGCCCCTGGGGTTTTCTCAAGTGCAACCACAAAGCCTGTGACCATTTGGCGTGGCCATTGTTCACCATTTTCGATACGGTGGAAGATTTCCAAGAGGGCTTGTTTGGCTTCGGCTGGCCAATGTAACATGTCTTCCCTACTGACTCCGTCAGGACCAGTAGCTGCACGTTTGGACTTGCGCTTGATGGCGGAGTCCCACTCTTCAATGCTGATAGGATCACATTTCATAGGTGGTGGTCGTGGGAGAACCTGTTCGGCAAAAGAGATGATTGGGTTCCACCTGTTGGGGTCAACATGCAAGTGGCGATCCCATCTACGAGACCATTCTTGGCCAAACTGTTCGAAGAGTTCGGTGAGATCTCCGATGCATTTGTCTTGCGAAACCATCTGGCCACTTTGGAGACCTTCCACATTGTCAAGCCAAAGTTTGTCCTGTTCGGCATGGATGATGTTTGCTTGGCCAACTGGGGTTTGCAGAGGAATGGCTGTGTCCCAATGCTTTTCTTGTGATACCTCTATGGCACATTCATGGTCTTCCACATGAGTGATGTTGGCAGTGGGTCTGTTAAGCAGCATCTGGACTGGCTGTGGCGGTGGTTGTTTTAAATCTCGAAAGATTATCATCGGGTCATCCACCCTTCTTTGCTTGGCTGCTGCTGTCCGTTGTTGATTCAAGGCCTTCTCAAAGGCTTGCAAGTGCTTATGAAAATGGCTACAAATGGACACCGAGATCTGGTGGCTCGGGGCTTCAACCGGCAGGCTTTCTCGAGTGTTGTCCATCCACCATTGTGCAAAGCATGGTGCAAAGCCTGGTGCTGTCTTGATGCTATGCCACAACTTACGTCGGTGGGTCAAAGCATTACCGGTAACTTCCGGTGGAAGTCTTGTGAAGTTGAGAATCCTTCTATACTGCCTTATCCATCTAGCATGCTGGATGTTCAGGCCATGGTATGTGGGTTGGTACTCCCCTTCTCTGGACGGTCGGAGCGGGGCTGAGTACTCCTGCCTCCACCGTACCTCAGTCGTTTTGGCTCTGCCTTTGCAGGCATCCGGCAACGCTTTGTGTTTGGCTGTCAGGGCAAGGGCTGCTGCTGCTTCGACATTTGTGCATACCTGTGCATAGGATGCTGTGAGGTCTTGTTGACTCTCTGGCTTTTGGTATTCATATTGGATGGCTTCCAAAGGAATATCATCCCAAGGCATAGGTTTTGGTTGTCTCCAAATCGGTAGTTGAGGGGGCTTTCCAAGTGGATGGAATTTTGCAATGAGCACCGCATGGTCAGGGAACCAATCTTGTTGAACTTCAACATCTTTGAGGTATTGAGCAAGTTCAGGGCTGACATAGATGTGATCTTTGGTGGTCTTATTTTTACAGGTAACTTCGATGGGTTTCCCTAGTCTTTCAAGTGCCCATTGTTGGACATTCACCCACCCAGCCTCTTTCCACGCAAGCATGTTTTGGAGAGCTCCATCAGGTTGGTTCAGGTCACCTGCAATGAAGCGCAGGCCATGGCTGTGTTGTAGCAGTCGCTCGGTTATGTATTGGCAAATTTGATCTGTTTTGGTTCTGGTGGCTATTGTTTCAGCTTGAGCTGCATGTCCATAGACTACTCCTCCTTGTACCCAGCGTGAGCCTACTTGAAAACAAGAGGCATGGAACCTGGATTCTTCCCATTGCTGTTTCGGCCATGTGGCGGTCATGGCTCTGCTTGGGCAAGTGCTCAGGAAGGCAACTCCACGATGTTTTCCGGCTATGGCAGTGGCTGTGTTGGACCGACATGGCGTGTCAGCCCCGGCTTGCAAATGGTAACCCGCTTTGTGGTACTTTAATTCTTTTTGGAACTTGGCCCTGCCGGGGGCTGTCAAATGAGTTTCACTTACGGCCCACAGACTGGATCCTGTGGCTTTAGGCAAATCTGCAATTAACTGCCCACGGCCCAATAGGCCGGTAGGATTGATGCAACCGATGCTAAAATCACCGTTTGGCATAGGGCCAGGATTGGCCGCTTCCCCCATGCGACACACGCATGTAAATATGCATATCAACCATAGTGGCAGTTGATATGAACCCCGGGTTTTTCTCTCGGCTTGTCACTCGCCCGTGCGCGGGCGCTTGGTGAACAACTGTTCGATGCGAAGCATCTGCTGTTCCAACTTGCTGCCGAGTGCACTTTGGAATGCATTCTGCTGTTGGTCGATCTTCATGTCTAGGCTTTGCATCTGGACCTGGACTTGTTGGTTGTGTTGCATTTGCTCATGTTGTTGTGAGCTCACTTGTGTGGTCAATTGCTCCAACTTCTGCTCTAATGCGGCGATACGATGTTCACCACCTCCATTCATGGAGTCATCATCGTCACGGAGCTTGGCAAGGACCACCTTCTCAACATTGGCCTGGATGGAGGCCACCTGTCCTACGGATAGTTCTCGGGTGCTTGGAGCTGCTGGCGACCTCCATGGGTCATTGTGGAGCCATGGGTCTTCTTTGGTATTCTCTTTGGGCTTCAATTGCAAGCTGTGGATCGTCTTGCTTGAGGCTAGGACCGTGGGCTTGCTGGTGGCTGGTACCTGTTCTTTGTCTTCTGGGGACACTAAAACATCTCCATGAGCCATCTGGAACACCCAATGTGTCGGCTGTGCTGCTGCCTGGACACTCCACATGATACCCGATCGGTCGGAGGCTTGTCCTGTCGGCCCAATTGGCCTGGCACACCAATTCCATTTCTGAAAGACATGGACCAGGCTTTGTTTCGTGGTGCCGAACGGCATTGGCCCGACCCTGAATCTCTTCAGATCAGCTCCAGGTATGTAGACCAAGTCTGGTCTGTGCAGTTTGTGCACCTCTTCTGCATTGTCATTGCTGGTCCTTAGTCCATAGCGGTCCCCCTGCCTCACCAACGCTGTCTCGATCTGTGAAGCTCTCTGGATGACCTGGGCTTCGGCAAAGGTCTTGCCTGGTAGCCATACTACTTGGTAAGCATTGTCAGGCTGACGCCCATCACTGCGGCGAAGTTCATAGTACTTCCCATCTTCCACATTGGAACTCATGATTGCTTGGATGGCGCTTGTCTCAACCCTGAGGTTTACCATGAAGAGCTGTGCTTCAGCAACTGGTACTTTCAGCATTCGGTTGGTCATATACTGCCTGTCCCATACATCCAAAATGGCTGCAGGGGCAAGGTCTGCAAAGGGCTGGGCACTGAGAAGGTTCTTGACCGGTTTTTGGATGAATTCATCCCATTTGTTGCATGCCTGGTCTTTGTACACTTGGACTCGGATGACTTGGTTGTCAACTTCAGGGACCTGGAGACATTGTGCTGGCAGGTTACGAACCACTTGCTTGGCTCCAATCTGCATCATGGCCAAACTGACAATCATGGGCTCATTGGTCGCTATGCATTTGGCTGGAACTTTGGTCACTTGACATGTGGGTGGAAGGCGCGCATCATCATGATCCATGATAAGCAATGCAATCCCCTGTTGGCTCACTGGTGACTTCAGGTTGAAGTATGGGATTGCTTCGTCAATGCTTACCAACACGACTCCCATGGCATTCGGGCCGATCTGGTTTGCATAGATCTGCGACAACTCATGGCCATCTTCTTGACGGAAGACCGCTGCTGGGATGGCAACTTGATCGGCAGTGAGCTGCATCTTGGGTTTGGTGACTTTGGTGTTCTTGATCTTGTTCTGCTTTCTGCCTACCTGCTGAGGATCCTTCATTCGTCTCTGAATTACATCTTTGAGTTCATCTGCTGTGACGATCCTGAGCGGCGGTTGGTGAAGATTTGCTCTTGCCTTCAAGTCTGCCCATGGCTTCGGCGAGACCAGGATTTGTTGGATGGCTTTGAGTCCAAGTGACTGGACAATCTGCTCTGCTCGCTCTATACTTTGGTCAGCGTGGACACCATGTGTTTCAATCAACCTTTGCAATTGCTCTCGAGGGTTGAGGGCTCCACCAATCATGAGGTCATGCACCGTTTGCTTGGCCAACCCTGCATAGATCAGGTTTTGATGGAAAAGGCTTCTCCACTGGCATGCCTGACGTACTGTGAATGGTTGGGTAGTTTCATCATCCATCATCTTCGCTAGGATCCAACCAATGGTTTGGAATCCACAGTCCGCTGGGAAAGCATGAGGCATGGGATCGGCATGAAATTGAACATGGTTTTGGCCTACCATGGATGCGAAAGCCTCAATGATCCATTCACCTTCTTGTGGGGGTAAGTATACTTTGGCTTCATCCCCCCGGGCCTCTACCACACATGGGAACCAGTGGTGGTCGTGGAGAAACGCAATGGCTTTGACCCTGCTGTTGACATCTTGGCCTGCAAGGCTGAGTGCACGTATGATGGTTCTGGCAACAACGACGTTGCGGTCAGGATCGGATGGTACCTGGACCACTCCAAAGGTTGAGCTTGGGTGATAACTTTCAAGCATGTGCATGTAGTATGACATCTCATCATATGCTACCCAACCCTTTTGTGTCCAGAGTGCTTGTTCTCTGGTGAGACCTTGGAAATTTGGGATGTCTCCATCATGGTTCTTGGGGCATTTTCAGGTCTGGACATGGCTGTTCTCTTCAAGCAAGAGAAAGTGATTGTGTTTGATATGGTCTTGCTGACTGAGTTGCGTACCCATGGCCGTGCTCACTCGGATTGGTTGTCTAAGTACTCCAAGTCGGCTCACTGCACTGGCAAGGTCGGCTGCTGTGCATGGACTGGACATGTTATGTGTCATCATGCCATCTGTGTGGGTCACGACATTGACAGCTACGTCTGGCAATTCTGGCTCGTCATCACCTGGTTCTTCTTGGCTCTCTGCAGCATTGGTCTTGTCAAGTTGAGTGGCCATCGTGAAATGTGTTTCTGCTGCAGCATGAGTTGGTTTGCTCACATGCAAGCTGTCGGCTTGGCCTTTGTCAAGATGTTTGAGGATGGCTTTGTTGATTTCATCTTGCGATGGAGAGTCATATATGCCTACTTGGTCTTCTTGGCCGGATTCTACGTGATCTTGGATCTTCGGCTGTTTGGCTGGTTTCTCATCGGCTTGCTTTTCTCCCAATCTTTTGACTTGGGAGGAGGGAGCGGCTTGGCATGGTAGAACCTTGGCACCTGCATTTGCTTCATCTTGGAGGAGATGTTGGGGATTGGCAAAGGCTACAAACCCTCCTGTCACAGGGTGCACATGGGATGGTCTGCCTGCTTGGATTGGATCTCGACCAGGGCGGTTCTTCTCGGCACTGTGGGGTCCATCGTCCTTTACCTCTACTTGGGTGGGGCCCTCGCACCCTAAGCGTGGTGAGGGCATGGCATCGGGTAGGGCGGGTTGTGCAACATGTGCAATGGTGGCATCATTTTGGGTATAACGCCCTGTATGGTGTGCCATTTCCCTGGCTTGGATTGCTTCCATCCATGGGTCCCATTCCTGTTTTTCCAGATCCATTGGGGCGGGGCCTCCACACCCTAAGCGTGGAAGAGGCATGGCTTGCAGGCAGGCGGGTGGGGGTTTCCCTTTTCCATTCATGTTTGATTCGTCATTGTCCCCAAGGCAGGTTGACATTTTTGGATCTTTCACAGCTTCGGTCGGCTGGGCTTCTGAGGTGCTGTCACCTGGGATCATCACCGGGTCATCGTTTCTGGTCATCTCTTTGGGTCCATGTTGGCTGTCCTTATACCTGGCAAGGAAGAGATCGCTTCGGTCCTTCAAGCTCAGTGGTGTTGGCCATCCTTTTGTTACATTCACCTGGTTGACATGGCTTGGATCGCATTCCGCAGGGCCTCCACACCCTAAGCGTGGAAGAGGCTCCACTTTGACACCCTGCATCTGGTTGGGTGGTGCGAAGTGAGCTCTTGGGACAACTCGGCGATCATGGTTGCTGCTGTCCTCAAGGCCATGATTGGCAACATTGATCATGTCACTGCTGCAAGGCGATGTCAACCCTTTTAGACATCTCACCATATCTTCCGGGCTCACTGGTTCACCCACAATTCTACGCATGTCATGGTTTGGGGTTTCATCCATTGGGGCGGGGCCTCCACACCCTAAACGTGGAAGAGGCTTTGCCTGGTGGGGGGCAGGGTAGGGAGCATTGGCATACTTGATGTTCGTCTCATTGGAATCACTTGGCATTCCAGGGGTTGGATGTCGACCGTCTGAGAAAGTCACACCTGCATCAGAAACATGTCCTCTCGTGATGCTTGGCAACGAAGTGAAGCAGCTGGATGCGATGTCAGTGTCGGATGCTTTGTGGCCTCTACCGGATGTAAGCTCTTTGGAGCCTTTTTGGTAAGGGTCCAATCACAGGCGTTTCACTCTTGGTCGGATCATGGTCAAAAGCCCAGGTTTGCAAGCATGAGGTGGCATCATGAAACTGTGTGGAGTGTGTACCATGTGTTCCTACCCCTGCCTCGAGTGCTGTGGTGTCATGGACATTCTTCGGACTTGTGGTGTGTGTACCATGGGAACCTACTCCGGCCTCAAGTGCTGTGGTCAGGCAAATGGCTGCGGTCCCTGCCTCGGATGCTTTGTGAACATGGTTGAAGACGGGCTGATGAGGGACATGGTTGGCACATGCATGGGGTCCACCTTCTGTCGGATGCAGTGCATGTGCATGGGTGTCAAGGACACCATCACATGGGACGATCGGATGCATGTATTGCTGACCAGACCCTGCCTCGGATGCTGTGGTTCGGAAAATGGCTGCGGTCCCTGCCTCGAATGCGTTGTGGCCACTTGCAATTGGACGTGCATGCAACAAGTGGTTGGCTTTGGCTGCTTGGTCATTGACCTTGGCCTGACTTTGCCCGGGTGCACTTGATTCTGACCCGAACGTGGCTTCTTGAAACACTTTGGGGCTCATGACATGTGCAGGACCTACATCGGCTACACTGGTCGGGCAAATGGCTGCGATCTTGGCCTCGGATGCTTTATGATCACTTCCAATTGGGCCTTCATGCGACATTTGCTTGGCTTTGATTGCATGGTCGTTGACCTTGGCCTGAATTGGCTCAGGTGCGCTTGGTCTTGATCCAAACGTGGCTTCATGGAATTCTTTGGGACTCATGACATGTGCAGGACCTACTTCGGCCTCACTGGTCGGACAAATGGCTGCGGTCTTGGCCTCGGATGCTTTGCGATGCACAGTTGTGCTCACTTCGGATGCTTCCTGCGGATCTGTGGTTTTGCTGTAAGATTCACTGGGCTCCTCGTTGCGGCTTTGCTGCACCTGTGCTGGCAAGGCAGGAGATTGGCCCCACATCTGGATTGCTCTGGCAAAGATCTCATTCGAGGAGGTCATCTTTGGATACCCTAACATCTTATCCCTGGCCCACAAAAGTTCCTGTGCCATCGATTGGAGTACATCCATTGGTTCCTGAAAGTCCTTCAGGGGGAATGCATGTTGGTGAATGTCTTTCAGTACATTGGCTAAAACCCAAGCTCCTTGGAAAGGTGATGCCATTTGGCCTACCCCCGCAATTTCCAATCTACATTTCCCTTTTGTGCGCCCCACATGCTTGGGGTTGAGGCCATTGGCAAGGGCGATCTCGCAAGCATGCAAATGTCGACATTTCTTGTACGGCTGGCCTCCATGCATGACTTCACCTCCAGTGAGGACTAATTGTCCGTACAAACCTTTCTCTTCCAAACGGCTGTGGCTGAAGCCCATGTTTCTACATCCGCAACTGCATGCCTTCACCTGTGACCCCCATGAATGTGTTGCAGTTGGGAGGGTCTTGAAGGTGTCAACCAAATGTTTCTCCAAAAAGGGATAACCATGAAAATGACGGAGTTCATATAGATCCAGTTCAATTTCATTCATGTCACTTCCAGGGATATCCATCATCTTTGAAAACAAATGCAAAAAGGTCGGATTGAAAGGCATCTTTGGGATACTCGGTATGGGCTGCAGGTTCAAGGCTGGATGAGACACTGTACACCACCATCTTGTTCGCTTGGACACCCAAAAGGTGTGGAGGTCCAGCAACTGTTGCTGAACTTTGAAACCTGTCTGTTTGGCAAAGGACGACAGCACTCCCTGGGCCCATTCAGATGTTTGAACGGCTGGTGTGCATTCCAGTAAAAACACCTGGGCTTGGAGCAAATATCCAGCTTTCATGGTCCCTGTAAATGATTGAGATCTTTCATCAAATTGTTGCCGTCCATCACCAAGTCTGCTGAAAGGTTGGCAGGCTACCCCTGCTGACATGAACATCCCGGGAGACTTTGCCATGTCTTTGACAACCCTGATATCATTGATATCCCCATGGATCACTCTTTTCCCATTCTGCTGCAGCCACTGGCAAAAGGCCGGGTTGGCATCATTGTAAACCGATGTTTTGACACCACATTTCTCAAAACCAGTGGAAACACATCCAATACCAGCACAAGTTTCACGCATGTAGTGGAAATCCCGATCTCTGATGGCTGGGTGCCCAATGATAACAGTTGTGTTGGTTTTGCAAATCCACAAACGGTTGCCTTTGAACTCAACTCTACCCTCAAAAATGGTCGCCCTTGGCATGTTTGGAAGGATGATGTCGGTGAGGAGGCTGAACCCATGGACATTGGAGCATGCCAAACTGGATTTTTCACCAACCCACATTGGTCGAACCACCAAATTGATCACTTCCCCATGAACCAGTGATGAAAGGGGTTTTTCCAGCTCGATTTCCATGGCAACAAAGTGAACGGTGCTCAGCTATCCGTAAGTACAAGTCTACCTCTGGTAGGGACTGAGCCGAGACTTCGAACTAACCATCAACCAACCAAGGTTTTTGAACACAAAAAAACTTCCCATGGATTTTCCCAAATGATTTCCACCATTCCCATCCCCCCATTAAACCTCGATTAAACCACCATTGTTGGAGGCGATCCCCGACCCCATTTGGATACTCTTTGCAAGGATGAACATCGACCGCCCAGTTGCGCGGCTCGCTGGCCCTTGCCAATTGCCATGTTCTCCTTACAAAAAGTTGGGAACACGGCGACATGGTAAGACATCCCAAAAAAAATCTGTAGGTAAATTGAAATATGAAGAGGATATTTTATGGGGAGAATATGAGGATATAAGTGTGCAAAGTGAACAATGGGATACTTACAAGCAGCTTTCCGGGAATATTTCATGAAGTGTTCCAGCAACAATAGGATGTTTGGGTGCGTACGACAATGGAGTATACCCATAAAATTGCAATGTAATGGGGAAAATGATGAGAAACCATTGGTATTTGATGGTATTTGTATAGTAACCCCCAAAACGATAGAAATATTTTAAGATTGGAGATTACTTTTCTATCCTTTCTGGGTGGGAAACAACGTGCACACCCCAAAATTCTGCTTGATGGATTAAAATGTTGAACCTGTCAGTCAAAATGGCCCGATCTCTAGCCCTGTTTTGTTCATTTTTGGTCAAAGAGTTCACTGGTTGCGTAGCCACTCTTGTTGGTAACATGTTTCACATCTTTCGTCATCGCATCTGGAACTTTGCTGGTGATTTATCCTATTTCAGTTCGCTCACATAATACATATTATATATATAGGATTATATATATATAATTATGTGTATATACATATATATATATGTACGTATACTTTATATATATAATATGCAGCGCTTCTATGCCAATGTCTGCGGATGAGATCCCATGAATTGGTTCATGAAATCTGCATCAACCAATTGGTTCACTGCTTGGTGTCAAATTCCCCCTGAAAAACATCGCTCCAACATGTAGTGAATTTCCGAAAGATTACTGGCAGCATGGACCCAGCAAATCCAGGTTTGGGTGATCAAACATCCAATTTCGGGAGTGTTACCCTCTGGTAAACTAACATAGCTATGGAAAATCACCATTTTGAATGGGTAAATCCACCATAAATTGCCATTTTCAATAGCTATGTTAGTTTACCAGAGGGTATATAAATCCGCCATTTCCACCATTTCCGATACGCTGAAAGCCCGGCCCAAGCCCGTTTCGCTGAGTGAAGCGGCCCAGAGAATTTCGGTGGGTTCGGCGACCACCGGGCGCAAGGTACCTGGGAAAAGTCGGGACATGTCGGGGTGAAGGGAAGTCATAGTGGCTGAATTGGGATTGTGGTGATCTAATGGGATAGTAAGGGGATATTAATGGGATATAGCCTCTGGTAAATTATCCATCTATAAGACTTTTAGATCTATGGTTTAGATCTATGGTTCTATTTTTCATGTAGCTATTGGAAATGGCCATAGAAATAGTTGATTTACCCACTAAAGATTGTAATTTTCCATATGTTAGTTTACCAGAGTGAAATCGGATGAATGTGGTTAAAACAATGATAAACCACCCATGACTGGGAATGGTGACCATACCACCCATAAAAATGGTGAATTTGGGGACGGTTTATTATGGTTATTAAATAGTGGTTATACAATAGAAGTCATAGATAGTCACTATTAGATAGATGGTTACTAACCTCCAATAGCTGGGACATTTACCCAATAGTCAATGTTAAATATGGTTAATAGCTATGTAAATAATGGTTAATGTGGGATTGTAAACCTACCTTTTTACTGGGGATGGTATTGAAACAATCTTCTACGACTTGGGGACGGTCTTTCAATGCGCAGCTAGCCAATGCAGGTTGGGCATGCTGTGCAGCAGATGTTTTCTGTTACCCTCTGGTTATGTCAAAATAGCTATTGAAAATGGCCATTTATAGTGGATTTACCCATTAAAAATGGTGATTTTCCATAGCTATGTTAAATTACCAGAGGGTATGTGCTGATTCTTTGTAGTTCTTTGCAAGCCTGGAAAAATTGAATCCTGTCACAAGAGTCTGTAGATGTGATTTATGACAGCATATGATAGCCTTTGGAGGTGGACTCGATTGTTTGCTCTAAAATAACGGTT